ACTGCGACTGCACAAGGTGATTTGTTACTTCAATAAGGATTTATTTTAAAGCTTCTGCTGCCTGCCTGAGGTCGCACTCCTTAAAATAATGGACCGCTTGCGCTACGATCAAAGTAGCAAATTAACGACTTTTCTGGGACACCCAAGCAGACAAAGAAGACTTGTGTGAGTTACATTTTGTTGTACTGTCGCTTTCAAACAAATGACTACTTCTCGGGGATTTTAAAAAGTGTCCGCTGTTCGTGACCACGGCTCACAACGTTAAGCATGACAATGGTCAGTAATGGTTTGCTTATTCGTTGTGGGAACCCGTCTGCTTTCTTCGTGGTGAGATGTGCGATGCCTCACGCATAACCGATATCAAACGTATTTTACGGCCTTAAGCGCTAGCACCTTCAACGTATACCTACTCTTGTGAAAACGTTTTGAGTAAGTCGTGTATCTGAAACACCGAGCGGAAACAAAGGAACGAAAGAAAAGACGTTTTTGTGTCAGTTTAGTTTTTAGTAAAACAAAGGTTCTTAGCCCGTTTCGGTGTGTCGGTTGAGGATAACGGCGAGAAGGCCAAAGGGCCGATTTCTTTTACGGCCAAAAGTGTCAAACTAAAGTCGAAAGAAATCTGCTGCATTGATTCCGCCTGAAATTGGGTTGTCGAATCATCAAGGGCCATTCATATATGACAAACGTGATAGGTCTAATTGTTTCCAATTTCAATTACGAACCCGTATTAAACGCCTGTTTGGTCCATCCAAAGTGATTCTGTCTTCTTATTGGCCTGTGGTCTTTGGCGCACAAGTTGACTTTCAAAATGATCTTTAATTGATGTTCACTGAGCTACGGTTTGTCCAGCCAATCACAAGCCTCTTGTCCATGGTAAGTTAGTCAATAAAAACAGCTCCCAGACAAAAGTAGACGAAGCCGAAAGGAATCCTTCGAAAGTAACAGAAACCTAACCTTTCGAAATGGAACGATAGTTTTAAAAGCATGAGTTTTTAAATTGAGACATAATCACATTGCTACGGTGAAGCTAGAAACCAAATTGAATGAGTTCGTTTCAAGGGAAGAATGCAATACTTCTCTTCTCGCATTCAATGGAGACGGATTTGGCCCAGATAGAGAACATCAATGTAGTACAACAATCGAATACATAATTATGCACGCGGGTTTACTGTTCTTGCAAGTTAGGTCACAGAGTCTTGCCGCGTCGTTTTGCCAATCCAACAAAAATCACCTCGTCGTGTCGGCAAGCACTAGACGCAAACAACTCCCCAGAATGAGACATCTCCACAAATCCAAAACTTTTGAAATAATAATGAACAGATTTACTGTGAGGGGAAACAAACCGTGGAAAGCAAAACAAGCACATATTTCTGTTACTTCTGTGAAACGCGAAAAACTTCTGGAAGCACTCAAGAGATTTCAGTGCAAAGTACATTCTGAGTACAATCTTGTTAGCAGTCAAGGACTTAACAGTTACTGTTTTTTATCAGCTAAAGAAAAATGTCAAAAAGGGCATTAGGCTTGCTGATCCAACAAAGAAGTCTTACTAAAGGAGGTGTTGGGGATCCACGATTCCCCAAGATTGGTTTCTGATGCTATTTGCATTTATTCACTAATATTTGTTTTGCTACGCTTTTTTTTAAGGTCAAGGTCAACCCTGACTTGAATTAGTTTCACTTTCGATACTGCACGCCGCACATGGCTGACGTGAATACAGCTCTCTACACGAGCTCTGGTCTTGTTCTTGTATTTAGCCTGGGAAGGTCGGTTCTAGCTTCATCTAGGGATCTGGTACCGTTATTTGAGTGGTCTTCTATTTGTTACTGGCAAACTTAACAGAGGTCACAATTTTTACCATGATATCTTATTGAAGTTTGACAGTGATATCATCGTCCCAAATCAAAATCGCAATGATGGTTTCTTGAAGAAACTGCAAAAAATTATCACCACATTGCAAGGATCGTTAAATTCGTCTAAATTATTTTAAAAGTTGTTAATGCTCTAGCGTGAGCATGCCCTCAAGTATCGTTCTGACTCGCTTTTTTTCAGCTGAAACGTAAAATGTGATGCACGTAAAATATTCATTTTAGTCCAAACACTTTTGCCTTCACTCACAGAGGTATCTACCTTTTGGTAAACCAAAAGTGTGTTAAATCCCCGAAAAGATTAAAACGCAACAACGACACAGCGAAAATGTTTTTTTTCCAGCCAAATTTAGCTGCTCAAGTTCTTTAGCCGAACAAGTGGTTTTGTAATTTGATTATGACGTTTGCAGAAAACTTTGGCTGATGCAAATTCCTTAGAGAAGACAGACGTTCCTGCTTGCTACTACATTTCCAATTATTGGTATCTCCACCAAGGCAGTGTGTTTATACTCACAAATTTACAGGTTAGAAATAAACACTCCTCAAAGGATTATAATTACATTTATGTCTTATTCTGAGTAACAAATGATTTGGGACCGAATTTGACAGGGTCTGGTAAACAATTGCTGGAAATATAATTGAAGGCTTAACAAGTACAATTTTGACATGACAGCATAGCATGAGGGCCATGCCAGAAGGTAGATGCAAACCACGATAATTACCGCAAACGGAAGGACTGGAAACTGGGCTCTGGAAAACTGGGAGTTAAAAGGATCGCTCTATAGTGTAGATTTTTTGTCACATAATGAGTGTAGTAAGTTTGCCTAGAGACCTCTAAATCTTACGCTAGGTTGATACAGAGTTTAAGCATTAATATTTCGAATATTGAATTCGCTATCAGGTAAATCTAATTTTGTGGCGGTTTCATTAGCACTACCTTACAATCCTGCTAGTTAATAGTCCATGAAAACATGCAGATGATAGCGAATATAACCGTTTATTTAGATATAGCCACCCAAGCCCTTTATGACATATTTTGGGAGTGAATATCAACCGTCAACTCTGATCGACAATCGATGATATTCAATCCATTTGTCAATAATCTTTCACTCACACTCATTTGATTAAAGCTCTCTCTAATCCCACTCTTTGCAAGCTTGTGGGATCATGCCTTGTTTTAAACGTTTATTAACTGGTGTGATGGATTCTACCATTCGTAGGTAAATAAAAATAAAAGCAGACCAGAATAAATGGTACAAAACGGAGTTTACATAAAATGCTCAGTAAGTCAGCATGATTTTGAAATGCTTGTATAACCCAGGGTTAAATTTTGACCACACATTTGTAAAGCATGCATTAATGTCGCATGAAAGGCCACCCACTACCACCGACTGACAGGAAGTTCTAGTGTGTAAATTTACGCTGAATCAGTTGACCGTAGAGAAATGACAGCAGACTGTAACTTTATCGTTTTGCTTTCTTTTCCAAGCCGTACAATTCAACGCCCTCTTCTCACTATCTTTCCAGGAAAATTTGGCTTTTGACATTTAGATATAACACACCTTCTCACTTACAATTACGCACAAATTGTTTGAAATTATAGTTGAGTGGGCGATAATTGTCGTGATTTGTTAACACGCATAAAATAAGATGAAGTGTCTGAAATGCAATGGAAAGTGACATTTATTGATAAACTTCATTTTGATATGACCTCAGCATAATAGTACAGTTTAGTCCTAATATATTCAGAAGATGACATTGCGCTTAGGGCAAATTATATCGCTGCTGGTAACAGATGTTTGAATAATTTTCAAATTATTGAATTTTGTCAAAGCGGAGACGGTTTTGCCTAAATTATACTATAAACTTTGTGATCAAGCGTAAACAGGATTCCCTGTGATTAAGCATTTATTAATCTGGACAACTATAGCTGTAAAAAGACAGATCAACAAGTGGTGCTGTTCGTAACTCATTACTCCACAAAATATTCGATGAAAAACTTTTGCTGGATCAACCAACAATCTCTTTTGCTCATTATAAACAAATTTGATCTGTACATTTTAAATATATCTGTTTTGAGGGTTCAAAAATAGGCATTCATCTAAAATTCATCTCTTTCGTTTCCTCGAAGCCTCGTCAGCTTGTCCACACTAAAAAGAGTGCTAAAAAAAAACAAAAAACAATGTTTGTACTCTTTAAATAAAGACTATCTTAAACCAACAAAACTTTCCTCTTCACGAATCAAAAAAATTGTATTACAAGACACTCCACAATAAGTTTTATTTACAAAAAAATGTTTGCAGAAAATAAGGCATTTAAAAACTGTTGCTAGTAGGGGGTTCCTCTTCGGTAGTAAAGGCAAAGTTATGATGTTTTGACAGGTGATCATGGGCAGTATTTACACATAAAATTCCCCAATAAAGATCCACTTCATGGATTCTATGAAGCTAAGCCATAAATTCACTGACAGGGGCAAAACAAATCTGGTAAATACGTAAACCCAAGCGTTGGATCGACGTTAGCAGCTTGTTGCCTAGCGAAACTCAAAATTATTTTTTTTTATTTGCATATTCAGCAACGCCCAAAATTATTCCTAAAATTTAACTTAAGAGTGATTTTTTTAAAGCGAAATGATCGCTTTGCTGAATTTTGCTATGAGGAAACCCCACAAGATCACTAAAACCCATTCCTATCAGTGAAGGTCTGTCACGAAAGTTACATTTTTTTCTAAAATTGTACTTCCGTTGAAGGAAAAAGAATCACGGCGTTTTGTAAGGTCTGGGGACACGAAAAGAGCCTTTGTCCTAGATCAAAACCCACAAAATCAAAGGTCTTTAAAATTACTATCTGCACAACATTCTCTCCCTATATCCCCACGTCTGCAAGCATTACGTGCTGCCTGCTTAAATTTGAACTGACGACAGTCTGTGAATTCCCTAAAAGCCTTTTTCTTATTGAATTGCATCGCTGCTAAAGCGACTAGCTTAGCTTGCCTTCATTGTCTTTTCCACTGAAGGGAATAACGAATTAGACACAAACAAACTAAAACCAGAAAATTTTGTCAATGAATTTGTTTTTTGAAACGAAATAGCCAATCGTGTTGAAACCATACGAGAGGGTGCAGCATTAGTGGTTCTAGCGCAACTCACCAATGATTATGTATAGAGGAATATCCATAGTTGCTAATTTGGAAATTGAGGTTATTCTTATCGTTTTGTGCGGATAATTGAAGTATACTAGTCTGCCTTTTTTGTCATTTGTGATGTTGTACTGCGAGTTCGGAGTTTTTTGTTCACCATCATGCGCATCCCAGGAGATCAAATCCCTAAAATGGTATTCCAAGCGGAAACCAAACTCGAATTTCCCCACAAATTCGTCCGACGCGAAGAGCATGGTGAAGTGGCTGCCCGACGAGGCGATTGCTAGGTTTTGATCCGTCGGTAGACCCTTGTCTGTCTCTGGTCGAAAGACAGACTGTGGACTTCCGCAGACGCTCAGCTGAACTGGCAAGTGGGTTGAGGACCCGTCATAGAAATACAAGCGGTCTCCACGGTGCACCGTGTCTTCCTTGCATCTAGGAAGATGGTTGGTACACTTAACTAAAGCATAGTTAGGCAAAGGCAAATTCGCTACACAAAACTTTGCGACAGTAACTCCAAATGTGAGCGATCATAAGACAACACGAATTTTCGGTTTCATTAGCACGGTAGTTATTATAGTTCATGAATTACAAATATCAGCTTCTGCAATTACATTGACAACCACTGTCCGATATCTTCTTTAGGGTCTTGTCGGATTCGAATGTATTTAATTTGAGGTCACAATTTTAAAAAAAAACTTGTATAGGACTCATATTTCATCTAGTAGTTGGCTTGTTTTGCTCACGTTTTGTATTGGAGTTGAAACATTTAAATAGCAAAACTGCTATTACCTAATTCATGAACTCAATTTTGAACGACGTGAACCGTAACCATCGTAACAAATCTTTTTTTTCTTGAAATCATTAAGCTTTCCAATTTGTATGCTTCTAGGGATAGAAAAGTGTGTTTAACTAAATCCATAATATACTTGGCGGTGCAACTAACACAGCAAACATTTTGCGTAATTTCGCGGATTCCTAAACTACTTTTGTCAAAGTGATTGTTTTGCATTCTTACTAAATAAAGACTTTATTCCAACCTGTGCTTTTTCATGCCTTCGGCCGACTTAGTTTAGCAAGAATTTGAACCGTACAAACAACCTTACAGAATTTATTTAGTTCGGAAAAAAGGAGGCTAATGGGATGAATTCAACCAGACATAAAATCCTTCGGAAAATCACTAAAAATTTGGCTTTTAAACAGAAATTTCATGACAGAAGTTTTCATAATTTACGGCAGGGCCTTTCCATGAAAAATGTCTGCGACAAAACTATCTTGAGAGATGACAGCCTTTACTGGCCAGCCAATTTGTTTTCCCAGGATCAAAATACGGATTGGTTACTCTACAATTAGTCTTTACTTTTGATCAACTAATTAACTGTGTGGAAGTCCAGAAGAAGTGATTGCCTTGACTTACTTGTAAACCCAAGCATTTACTGTGGGAATAAATTTGTGTTAATTCAAAGTCGTGGGATCTAACAGTTTAGCTCACTTGTAAAGTTGACTTACAATTAGAATGCCAGCTAAGGACAATAAAACACAACTACGTCAATTTTGCACTCTGAAGGGGGCCTAGAAAACACTCTCGTAGTGGCACTTGCCAATTTTCGAGTTTAGGATTCATCAATCGCTCATATTGTACAAAGTTATTTTGTACTTTTCCCCAAAAGAACTGTTTGAAAGAGTACAATTTATGCGACACTGCGGTAAGATGAAAAAATAAAAATATACATACACCTACATAGTAGATTCGCGTCTGCGAAAATGCCTACAAAATCATCTGGATTTCTTTCAGGCTATCGGCAACACCTTAATAACACTTTAACTTGTGAGTTTACCTTCGGTGTTCATTTAGGCCCAAACATTGCACCCTATAATAGCAATTTTCCTAATTTTCGACAAAATAGCTTCGCGTCACTGAGAGTGAGAGATTCGGTTAATTTTGAAAAAAAAAGAAAACTTGATTTATTGCAGATAACCTAGTATTTTGCACAAACTTTACTAGTTTCCCTGTAGGTAACGATGCCAAATTTCCCCAAAATTTGTCTTTTTTCCAATGAAACCGAGTCTAGGTGATTATTTATTCAGCGTTGCACGAGCGAAAAAAACATTTTGTAAAATTAAAAAGTAGAATCGAGGTGTTTTCTGTGGGTCGTAGTTTTCAACCGGTCATTGAAAAAAAGATTGTTGAAGAAGTATTAGTGCATTAAAAGATAAACTTCCTCGTCACGACTAATAATAGATGTCTTCCTCAACTTCATTCCTCAAATTTGCTAAATTTCTGTACATAAAACTGTCTATAAACGGTTAAGTTAAACAACGTTTATTTTCAATCTTTCGGAAGTAATATCTAGAGTCTACTATTGTCTCAAAAAACAACGTTCTGAATTAGGATTTTTACTATTAAGGACATGCCAAACGTTTTATCTAGAACAACAGTAAATTTGGGCAAACATTTGATCAGTATTATTTAGCCAGAAGCGTTGACTATGTAGCTACTCACAGCGTCAATTTATACCTGAGTAGTTTGAGATATGCCCACCGCCATTGGTGTTTAAAAAGAAGAAATTCACACGAGTAGGAGCAAAACTATTGGGCTTCGGATCTGCAACTGGCGTTATTGAACCAATAGACATTGAACCATTTAAGTCACATAATATTGAAGTGCCTTAACTAGGTCGTCATATAACCGCAGTTTTCTGTGTTTGTAGACGATACATTCATGGTCTAAGGTACAGGTGGTGCCAGTGGTTTTTCCGTCACCATGTTTTGGTTCATTTGTGAAAATAAACTTACTCATTTTGATTAAACAGTGTCGGCCAAGACCACTTTCCAAGGCGGCGACAACTAAACTCAATTGGTCGGGTTTGCTGCATTCGAATTCGTTCCTTAATTCATAAATTAAACGCGAACCCGACAGCTACCCTGCTTGCTAAGTAGGCGATTGTTTTGGAAAAAGTGTTGCTGCTTTAACAGAAAGGCTTTTGTTTGGCAAAATGTTTTTAGACAAATAAGTATAAAGTAATGCCTAGTGTCGTGTTCTGTTGTTAAGAAGATGAAAATTAAAAAGCTCGGATCTGAATAGATTCCTTCTTTCCATTTGACGAAACAGACTTGTAAAGGCCAAACAGTATTGGCAGTGTTCCACTAATCGATACCATGGCCATCGATTAATGGTTGAGAGGAATAGACATGGATTTAGGCTACCTGCACGAACGACACTCTGTTATTTGCTATAGGCTTTGCATTCTATTTCAAAAAACCGACCCCATTTGTCCGACTTTAACGCACCGTTCAGTGTCACCAAGCTCAAGAAGGACAAATCGTAGAAACACCCTTTGTCCCGGTCTTCCCCTGAAGTAGTACGTTGAATTAATGCACTTTGGATAAAGCTCAGGGAACTTCGGTGAAGCTAGGCTCCCTTCGTCTGCCTTATAGGCGTCAATAATCGTTTCGAGCGTTTCCAGAGAATTGCAGGCTTGGCGAGGATTTGCCGAATCGCTGTTCAGGATATTGACGTAA